GATATTCACATAATTTCTGTGTTTTTTATTATTTGGTGTGTATGTGTTTTGTACTTAGTTTTATTGCGAATTAGATGTATTGCTGTGTTATGATATTAAATTAAATTGGTGTTCTCCTAATTCCCCATTCTAGTATGACCAGCAGAGTGCAGCTGAAGCAGGACAGGCTTGTAGGGATTACTGATTCCTCCAGCGGCTAGAGACGATCAGAACGTGAGGATGGAGAGACCAGCAAGTGGTCAATAGAATCGGAACAAAAAAATAGAGTAAATCATAGAGTAAAACAAGAACACGCCCACTGAAGTTCCTTAAGTTTCGTTTCTTCCACCATCTTGTTATCCCGCATTGGAACGGAGGCGACGGTTAGCTGTGTGCCAGGTCCCCAAATGGGTTGTAGATATATTTTACGATTTATTTTTATTACTAATTATCTCTAGTGGAAAGATGTTGTGCTGCTATGTGGTCATGGGGAAAGAAGAGGGGTGCAGCGAGAAATTAACATAGTTGGCTAACTAGTTAGCATGTGTGCTTCAGCTAACTTAATTTAGCCGTTTACAACAATGTAAGCAGAAAAAAAAGCATCAATGTTGTACAATGCTACGTCCATTTTTTTTATTTTCACAAGTCAAGGCTGTCGCTATTTTTAAGCTGAGGAATGGAGTTTAAAAGAGGAGCTAGCTGGACAGTCGAAGCTGGCTCTGCTAGCATGTGGAGCCAGGGTTCTGCCCAGAAAATGGCGTGGAAGGACTTTGCTAGTAACTTTTCTTGAAAAAGTTACTAGCAGCAATCAAAAAAAAAAAAAAAACAGGAGTAAAGTTGTACTTTGTATGCAAATTATGTAAGTTGTCAGTAAAACATTTTTGACCGACTATTTTGTCCATAAACCCCGTTTACATCGAGTTGTATGGAACTGATATGTTTTTGTTTTTTTTTTTGTTTTTTTTTTTTGTCCGTTTTAGCTGTGGTGATTGGCTAAATTCAAGTAAAGAGCCTAGCCCAGGGGTGGGCAACTCGAGGGCCGGTCTCCTACAACTTTTAGATGCATCTCTACTTCAACACACCTGAGTCAAATAATGAGGTCGTTAGCAGGACTCTGGAGAACCTGACTGCACTTAGGAGGTGATTCAACTGTTGGATTCAAGCGTGTTGGACCAGGGAGACATTAAGAGCTGCAGGACACCTGACCTCGAGGACCAGGATTGCCCACCTCTGGCCTAGCCCATTCAGGACAGTTGTTAGCCACCCAGTGCTTTTTTCCCCATGATGGGTTCCAACCTTTTATCTTAATTTTTTATTCACTTTGATAAGTATGTTTATATGATTATTGAAAAATATATTTTTATATAATGCAGGATGCAAGCTGTGTGTGTCAAATACAGAGATCGACAGAAATACATCTGTTTTGAAGGCCAACTGACTTGCAGTTTGTTTTTGGAATGTGGTGAGTGCAAACAAAACAAGTTTACAGCATTTTCACATATTGGGTTTATCAAAAACGTTTTGGGAATGGTGCCAAAATAGATGCTTTACCAACTTTTCAGATTTATTTATTTTTTTTATTTAATTTTACTTTTTATGTCTTATTTTAATTGTTATTTTCATATGTTTAAATATAGAATAAATAAATAATTTGCTATGTTCACAGCTGCAAAAAAGTTCAGTATCCCAACCTTGGACTTAAAAGTCTTTGATGACTCGAAGACTGAAGTGGATGAGGAGGTTTTTGAGCTCCTTTTGAAAAGTCCAAACCTTGGTGTGCTGGAAATTTGTGAAGCACAAGATCTCAATCCAGAAGGTAAGTTGTTTTGAAGTGTCATGTGCTTATTTTTGTGAACTATTTTTGGTCATCCTTATGGGTTTGACCAATAGGGATAGAAATTGCTTTCCAGATCAGTATAGACATGTTGATGTCCATTTGATATCACCAATCTAGGATGAGATCATAAAAGCATTCACCTTTGTAGCATTTCACACATGTGGAAACATGCTACATCAACAATTTAACCTATTTTTAGTGTTTCAGTGGTTAATTACAATGAACACAGAAAAACGTGCATAAGTTAATTGTGTTTGTATCGGACTGTTTCGTGCGAGAAGAGCTCATCAGGTGACTTGATAGTTTAATTTATTTAAAATCTCTTTTTTTTTTTTTTTACACGGTTTCTCTAACAACTTATATGGTTAGAGCAGAGGTTCCCAAACTGTGGGGCGAGCACCCTAAGGGGGGCACCGTGCCATTGCAGGAGGGGCACGGGAAGCTATCTGGATGAAGAAGAAAAAAAAGAATGCTGTATGCTCTGGGTTTTTACCTTAGAATGGCCAACTCTCTGTTATTCCTATGT